TGATGAAGGGTCTAGGCCCGAAACGTCAGCCTTCCTGCTCCTATGATGCTGCTTGGCCTGCTGTGTTCATCCAGCTGCACCTTGTTGTCTTGCATACAAATCGACTTGTGAACAGACTCGAAGGGAACCCGTTCCTAATCCAGGGACTCCTGTACCGAGATAGGGAGGGTCAAGGCAATGGAGGAATTTGAAAACGAGCTCAAAATCCTCACGAGTTTTTCTTGTCAGAATGGGTTATTCTTCAAGTTTAATTCCTGATACACTGTCAGAAACTGTATCTAAACATTAGAATTTTCCTAAGTGAATGAAAGCAGAATGGTCCATCAACAGCACCAATTGAAGAGAATCCCCTAAAATGTCCATTCCAGCTGACACAAGGGACTACACCACCTTTCATAGTTTCTGTATCCCAGACACACAGACAACCCTGACACCTGCAGCTCTAACTAGCTACCATTTCAAACTAAATCAAACCCTCAGACTGCCTGTTTCCAGGGAGAAGAACAATCTGTACACAACCTTGGGGCTTAATGCCACAGAAACTAAGTCTAATGCAACTGAAATATACTAATTTGTCACTCATGACTCTTTTTGCTGAGTAAGGAGGTTGTGAGTTTAACACCTCATTAGAATTGAGCTCTGAAGTTGACATTCCAATGAATTATTGAGGAAGTGCTGCAAAATCATAGGTACCATCTTTCAGATAAGTTAAACCAAGGCCCCAAACACCTTCTTGCATGAATGTAGAAGAGCCCATGACACTATATCGTAGAAGAGCAGAGGAGTTATCCTTGACCTCCTGGCCAATATGGATCACACAATCCGTGTAACGAAAGCAGATCATCTGACCATGCTAATATTACTTAGTTAGATCTTGCTGTGTGCAAACTGACTGCCACTTTTACTACATTATGACTGTGACTACATTTCTAAAACCACTTAATAGGTTAAGTACTTTTTGATGCACTGTGTTGGCTGGTGTTTGTAGGCATTAATATATCAATGCAAGTCTTTCTTTCTTACCAAAACGTTATGCTTTCTCAAAACTGGATATGATAAACTCATTGTTAGAGGACCCATTATCCCAGCACACAATGTCATTGAACAAAATATTGTGTATAGGATTCTTACTGTAGTGTTTCAGTGAGTAGGAATGCTGACAAGTCAGGCTGTTTGGGTTAAGATATAATGAATTTATTGTAATTGATAAGTATATACAGAAGATTGTTAAAACAACAGACAAACAGCCCAATATTCAGCTTACATCAAACACCCAATCAACTAAAACAACAAAATATTTGAAAATGATTCAAGATCTTTCCCAGAACATGAAATGAATCTTGAAAGGGTGTAAGGTGAACATATCACACTGTTGTTAAATCAAGGTATGGGCTGAGGGAACTCAGTAGACACTCTACACCACTCGCTCGCTATACTCAGGATAATAGTCCTCCCAGACAGGAAAGTACAAAACATTTTTCATGGTGTGATACTATAAACTTCAGAACTTTAATAACTGTTCACAGGTTGAAAGAAGAGCATTAACGCTGTCTGGAATATACTGTTAAGGGACAAGGACAGACTGTTATACAGAGATTGAAAGGAATTAGCCATGCCTGGGAGAAGAGGGAGTCAAAGCTACATGAACAAAATTGTTTAAACAACTGCTTGATAACTGGCTGCCTTATGCCACGAAGATAAATGATTGCCCTGCAGAAGAATTTAAGAAGTTAATAATTGGAAAACTGTGTCTTGAGTCAATGCTCATGGTGATGTCAGCAAACACTTTTTCACAAAAATGTGGACTGGAAATCTGGATCTCTCTCCCCTCAAAAATCTGTTGAAGCTGGAGGTCAATTGAAAATTTCAAAACTGAGACTAATAGGTTTATTGTTAGGCCAGGGGATTAAGAGTTACAGCGACAAGGCAGTAGGCAGATTTAAGATGCTGATCAGCCATGATCTAATTGAATGGTGTATTGAATTCAAGGGATTCTTCCAGTTCCTACATTCCTTAAATTCCTCTTGATTGCTCTCTCCACTCTCAACTTCAACAACAATTGGTGTCATTTTCTTCAACCATCAGCCGAGTTTCTGACTGCATACCCTCTCCATCACAAAAATCACCTTCTCTCTTTGTAACATCACCCATTTCCAACACTCCCAGATTAGCCCAACCATGCTGTTGTTTCTAGGCTGGCCCAGCCCATTCCAAAGCTCTACTGTTCAACCTCTCATCTTCTACCCTCCATAAACTTCAGCTCAATGAAAACTCTGCTTTCTGTAGATTAACTCACACACCTATCGTCCCTGTGCTTACTGACTTTAACTGGTTCTCAGTCCCCAGTGTTTCTAACTTAAAATTCTCAGACCCATGTACAACTTGCTCCATGGCCTCACATCCTCCTTATCTCTGACACCTTCTGCCTCATTTTCCTCCAAGACTTTTGTGCTCCTCCAATTCAGTTCTTTTACACAGCCACGCCCCATATCTTAACTTCTCCATTGATGGCTGTGCCTTCAGCCAACCGGAATCATGCTCATGAATTCCTTCTTTAAATCTCTCTGCATCTTTCTCTCTTCCCAATTTACACCCTTCTTACATCCCACCTCTGTGACAGAACATTTCATTCTGCTTCATCAGATGTCCCTCAATTGAGGATGATGTACACTCAGGGTCACAGGTTTCTGCATGTCTTCATATGACTGATCAGCTGATTGTCAACCTAGGGCACGTGGGGCAGGATGTCCCACAGGATAGTGGGATCCAGAGGGTAGGATTTTCTTCACTTTCCTCTCTGCATGATCATTTAAGGCACTGGGAGTCAAAGTTTGATGGACAAACTATTCTGAATGTTTGGTAGCAAGCTCCTCCCAGTCGTTAAGGTCATGAATCAAAGAGAGCCTCAGAGTGTCTTTGCATCATTTTCTCTTACCTCATCTGAATGCTGGCCATTTGAGAGAACAAATGCCCCTAATGGGGCAGACAGATTTTCATCCCAACAGTGACAGTGGCCATTCTATCAAAGTTGATTTTGAAGAATTTTGTCTGTAATATTTGGCTATAAGTAGGATGTTAGCATTTGAGTCAGGAGGATGCAGCAGTGAGACAAATAATGGGATTTCTCCAGTGCCCTAATGGGCCAATGTTACACAGTCCAATACTCTGAAGTACAAATGTATGATAAAATCAGCAGCTTTGAACACTCAAATTGTTGTTTACTTACTGAGCTCTTACTCTGTGTTTTTATTATTTCTTTCGAAGAGAGCATTATTGGCAAAACCAGCCTTTATTGCTCATCACCAACTGTAGTGAGCCACTCTCATTATCCTCTGCAGTCCAGAGTACTGCAGTTAAACCCTCACTGCTGTATTTTTAGGTCTGAACTGACACGGCTGATCCAGTGCTGGATCTTCTTGTCAAAGGCAGCCTTTTGAGAGAGGTGGCTGTTGTTTTCTGAGAAGTGTTCAACATATGCTGGAGTCCCTACTTAAACATAAATCGGAGGGGGACTATCTGGCTGAGCAGATGTGAGTTGATAGGAAATTTGTTTGATGGGAGTTTTATTTTGGCAGCATTCAAGGACTGGCCATGTTTGTTGTGTGGAGACTTGAAGAGATGCAGAATGAACAGCAACGCTGTAGTTATTTGCAAACTGTAGGTCACGTGTATCTATGGTGGTCAGTTTAGTTTTTGGAGGGCACTTAGAGTTTCACATTGAGACAGTTTTTAATACTGACACCAATGGCAGCTGATCTTTGATGAGGTGAATACTTACTGTCGGGTAGATTGTAAATAGAATGAGGGCTATCACACAGCCTTGTTTGACACCAGTCTGGATTTTGAAGGTTTCTGTTTCAGATTTTCCACTCATGACAGTCACAGTCATATCATCAGGGAGCACTTGCAAGGTTAGATGGCAGTTTCTCAGATCATCCAAATCATTGGATCACAATCCACAGAGCCTATTGATATACTAAGTCAATTCCCACCCTCCTGAAATCCCACATCTTTGACCAAACATTTCATTATCCCCCACCTCCTCCTCATCAGATGACACTCAATTGAGGATGACATCATTGGGTTACATTTATTAATGTAATGAAGAATTCCTGGTGTTCTCAATTTTTTTTAATTTTTCTGGTAACAAATTGGAGGTTCCTCTGTAAGGTCTAAACCTAAGTAAATGTTCTAAGTGATGTCTGTATCACTTGATCCATGTGGGGGCCTGGTGCTGCTGGACAGATCATCGACTTGCCCAATCAGTGATGAACATCCACCCAGCTCCAAGACATCACAAGGCCAAGAGGAAGAAAATCAGCCCAAAACATCCATTAACGAGGGAGAGAACATTTTGAAAAACTTGTCAACCATGAATCCAAGGGCACCTGTTACCCTCTGTCTGTCCCCCAGTGTCCTATGGTAGAATCCATGGGTGAGTCACCATTGCTGGGAAAGCGACAATGAGCAACCAAAAGAGGAGAACCAATGCAGCCTGCAGTCCTGATGGTATTCCAGCTGAGGGCGACTGAATTGGGAGACTGTTTCCTTGCAGCATGGCTCCATGAACTCATCCCACAGATTTGGGAAGAAAAACAACTTTCCCAAGTTCAGGAATGGGACAATTGTAACTATTTTCAGGAAGGATATAAATCACCCTGCAGAAACTAATGAGGAGTTTCCCTCTTGTTCACAGCAGGAAAATCCTGACATACATTCTCTTGAATGACCTTCTTCCTGAGGAAATCCTCCTAGAGATCCAGTGACATTTCCTCCTAATCTTCCTTTGTCTCAGTGGTAATGTTTACCTGATTGTGTCTATACACTTGGGATGTTTTACTACATTAAAGGTGCTGTAGAAATATAATTTGTAGTTGTTGGGCTGATGCCCACTTTCCCATTTCATATTCCCTCCAAACCTCAGGGTATTGACCTGGACATTGATTGGCCTCTACTGCTCTGTTTGAGTGGCTGTTCAGCATGTGGAGAGCCAGACAGTGAATGTTGTGAGACAATGGACACTGTCACAGCGAGACTTCTGCCCCCACGCCACCCCTCCCTTCTTCCCCCCAAACTTACCAGTTAGACTCAGTGGTGAGGAATAGGATTCCTGGCTGATTCTCCACCCATAGACCAGAGAAACTGAGGCTAATTGAAATACCTCCATTACTACCCCAGGAATGGCTCTTCTCCCAGGAGCTTGTGTTGGTCGATCAGAAGCTGAAGCCTTTCTAACCAATGAGTATCTGATTGTCTTCTTGGTCAGAATGAGTGTCAGAGAGTGACTTGTATCTGATGCTGCATTGGAAGGATGCTGAGTTTATACTGGAGATTCTACATATATTGATGTCTTCTTTTGGTGATGTTTGGAGATCTGGTCAAAGATTAAATTAACCTTCTTGAAACATTTGGGTTGATGCTGGGAGAGGTTTGAGACAGACCCTGCTGAGACAGACAGTTTCCTTCTGTGAGCACTGGAGGGTAAACAGCACAGGCAGCTCTCAGTGCAATGAAAGCAGGTAGCCTAACTCCAGGTCCATGTGGAGACATCAGTATTTGGTGAGAGAGGAGTAGGTAGTGAAACAATCCTGGCACACATCACACTGGAAGGGTTTATCTCCGGTGGGTTCACTGATATTTCAAGAAGTTCAACAACATAGCAAAGGCTTTATCACAGACTTCACACTGATAAGGTTCCTCCCCTGTGTGAGTACCAGGAGACACACACAGACTTGAGAATAGAATAGAACCCCTACAGTGTGGAAACAGGCCCATCAGCCCAACAAGTTCACACGAAACCACAGAGCATCCCACCCAGACCCATCCCCCATAAGCCACCTAATCTACACATCCCTGAACTCTACAGGCAATTTAGCATGGCCAATCCACCTAGCCTGCATACCTTTGGACTGTGGAGGAAGCCGTAACAGCCAGAGGAAACCCACACAGGCACAGGAACAATGTGTAAACTCCACACAGACAGGCACCCAAGGGTGGAATTGAACCCAGGTCCCTGGTGCTGGGAGGCAGCAGTGCTAACCACTGTGCCACCATGCCACCCGAATTGACTGATCTATAATTGCTAGGATTATCCTTACAACTTTGGACAAAGATGTAATGTTTGCAATCCTGCAGCCTTCTGACAACTTCCCTGAGTCCACGGAAAATTGAAAAATGACAGCCAGAGGCTCTGCAATTTCTACTCTCACTTCCTTCAAAATCCTTCGATGCGTCTCATCTGGTCCCAGAGTCTTGTCAACTTTGAATGCCAAGACTTCATCCTTATTAACTTTAAACTCTTCCAGTGGAAGAGTTTCTTGCTCTGTCACCATGACCTGGGCAACATCCTTCTCCTTTGTTTAAAAAAAAACAGATGCAAATTATTCATTTAACATCACAACAATGCTCCCCGCCTACATGTGAAAATCCCACTTTCGGCCTCTGATCTGCCCTACTCCTCCTTTAACTGTTCTCTGTTTATAGACCCATAGAAGACTGTGATTTCCTTTTATGTTAGCTACTCGCTTGTTTCACAGTACTTCTTTGCTTTTCTTATTTACTCATCTGTATTTCAACTCACTTTCTAACAGTGAAGAAGCCTTCCAGACTCAGTGCATCTAGAGGTGGGAGGGTACGTTACAGCCCATTGACTGAAAGAAGTGGCTCAACTGTGACTGAAAGAGAGCAAGAAACAGTGGGATTGTGTGTTGGAGGGAGAGGGATGGAGTGATTAAATGGGAGAGGGGGAGAGTGAGGGTGTCACACACCTCACACTGAAATCAATAAATTTGGAACTGGAGTGGATAGGTGAGTTGGAAGATGGACACGTTGGGGAGGGGAGATTTTGAAGCTGGTGAAGTCAATGTTTAGGACATTGGACTGTAAGCTCCCAAGGCGAAATATGAGGTGTTTTTCCTCCAGTTTACGTTTGACCTCACTCTGATAGTGGAGCAGGCCAAGACTCGATATGTCACTAGGGGAGTGGGAGGGGAAGTTAAAATGGATGGCAACTGGAAGTTGGGTGCATGCAGAACACAGATGCTGGTCCCTGAGTCTGTATTAGGTCTCCCATTTATACAGGAGACCACATCGGGAGCAACGGATACAGTAGATGAGGTTAGATGAAGTGCAGGTGAATCTCTACTAGATCTGGAAGGATTGTTTAGGGCCTTGGACAGAGGTGAGAGGGGAGGTGTAGGGGCAGGTGTAGCACCTCCTGCAGTTGCAGGGAAAGGTGCCAGGGGTGATGGAGAGGTTGGTGGGGAGTATGGAGCTGACGAGGGTGTCATGGAGTGAACGGTCCCTGTGGAAAGCGGACACAGGTGGGAAGGGAAATATCTTTTTGGTGGTAGGGTCTGATTGTAGTTGGCAGAAATGTCACAGGATTATGTGTTGTATTCAGAGGCTGGTGGAGTGGTATGTGAGGACTAAGGGGACTCTATCCTTATTCTGTTGGGGGGAGAGGGTTTGAGGGCAAAAAGCATGGGAAATGGGGGAGATGCGGTTGAGGGCATCCTTAATAACAGAGGAGGGGAAACAACAGTCTCTAAAGTAGGAGGATATCTGGAAAGTCCTAGAGTAGAACGCCTTGTCCTGGGAGCAGATGCGGCGGAGATGGAGGAATTGAGAGTATGGGATAGAATTTTTGCAGGAGGGTAGGTGAGAGGAAGTGTAGTCAAAGTAATTGTGGGAGTCACTGGGTTTGAAATGGATATCAGTGGTGAGCTGGTTACCAGAGATGGAGATGGAGAGGCCCAGGAAGGGAAGGGAGGTGTCAGAAATGATCCAGGTGAATTTGAGGGTGCAGTGGAAGGTGTTGGAGAAGTTGATGACCTGTTCGAGCTCTTTGCAGGAGCACGAGGCAGCACCAATACAGTCATCAATATAGCGGAGAAAGAGGTGGGGGATGGTGCCAGTGTAATTGAGGAAGAAGGTCTGTTCCACAAATCCTACAAAAAGGGAGGCATAGCTCAGGCCCATGTGGATGCCCTTAACCACCCCTTTGGTTTGTAGGAAGTGGGAAGAATCAAATTGTTGAGGGTGAGGACCAGTTTGCCTACCCAAACAGAATCGGTGGAGGGGGACTGGGTGGGCCTACAGGAGAGGAAGAAGTGGAGGGCTTTTAGGCCATCCTTGTGGGGGATGCAGGTCTGAATGTCCATAACGAAGATGAGGGGTTGGGGGGCCAGGAAATTGAAAGTTTTGGAAAAGGTGGAGCGTGTGGGTTGTGTCCCGAACACAGGTGGGGAGTTCCTGGACCAAAGGGGAAAGAACGGAGTCGCAGTGGGAGGAGATGAGCTCGGTGGGCAGGAGCAGGCAGAGACAATAGGTAGACCTATTGGTTGGGTTTATAGATCTTGGGTAGGGGATAGAAATAGGTGGTGCAGGTTTGGTGAAATATCAGGTTGGAGGCTGTGGATGGGAGATCTTCCAAGGTGATGAGGTTGTTGATGGTCTGGGAGATGATGGCTTGGTGATCAGAGATGGGGCTGTGATCAAGGGGACGGTAGGATGGTCGGAGAAGGCATCAGAGAATTGGTGTCTGGCCTCAGTGATGTAGAGGTCAGTTCACTATACTACCACCGTGCCACCCTCCCACCCCGTCAGCAGGTTTAACAGTGAGGCTGGGGGTAGGAGCGAAGGAAACGGAGGGCTGTGCATTCCAATGGGGAGAGATTGGAGTGAGTGAGAGGGGTGGAGAGATTCAAGCAATTGATGTCATGGCAGCTGTTGGAGATGAAGAGGCTGTGGGCGGGTAGGAGGATGAAGAGGTCACACTGAAATGTCTTTTCTCCTGTACAGCTCCACTCACACATTTGAAGACTTCAGGAAAACTTTATCTCACACACTTGCAAATCAAATCCTGTGGGGATTGTCTGATGGACCAGGAGCTTCAATAGGTAGGTGAAGGTTTCATCGTGTAGCTCACACATACCTCACACATGATCACCTACTCCCCATTGTTTCATTGGGCCTGAGGCTTTGCAAAGTCTTCACTGCTCAGCTCACTCCTCTGCGGTGTAGAGGCATCAATATTCCATGACCAGGGTGGCTGTGTTTCAGGCTCATTCATATCTCACACTTCAAAGGCTATTTTTGTTTGAATAAGGATGTAAACCAGCCCAATAACTGTTACACACCCCACACATGCATGGTTTCCCCTGCGTGTTCAGAGGTTCAATGACTGCAAAAATGATTTCTCTCAAATGTTGCATGTGAACAGTTTTGTCTGTGCTTGATTGCCTTGGTGCAGGCTAAAATAAGATGATTGTGGTGAATGATTTGTCACACAATTCATGCACGGAAGGTTTCTCTCCAGTGTGAACGTGTTGGTGTTGCCTGAGCATTGATGGCCGTCTGAAGGCTTGGCTACACACCTCACACTTGAAGGGCTTCTCCCCTGTGTGAATCCTTTGGTGCATCAGGAGGTCAGAAGATTGGGTGAAAGCCTTCTCACAAAGATCACACTTAAAGGGTTTCTCACCCGTGTGAAACCTCTGGTGTGTCAGGAGCCTTGTGGATGTGGCAAAAGCTTTGTCACAAACTTCACATTTGAAGGGTTTCTCCCCTGTGTGGACTGTCTGATGGACCATGAGGTTTGATGACTGTGTAAAGGCTTTGTCACACACTGTGCATGTGAATAGTTTCTTCCCTGTGTGAATGTGTTGATGTGCACGAAGAATTGATGACTGCGAAAATGATTTGTCACACACCTCACATGTGAATGGTTTCTCCCCTGTGTGAATGCGTTGGTGAACGTGGAGGTGAGACGACTTTGAGAATGATCTATCACACACCTTGCATGTGAATGGTTTCTCCCCAGTGTGGATGCGTTGGTGGCTACAAAGGTTTGAAAAATGTGTGAATGTTTTGTCACACACCTCGCATTTGAATGGCTTCTCCCCTTCATGAATGCGTTGGTGTGTATGGAGAGCCGATGACTGCGAGAATAATTTGTCACACACCTTACACGTGAATGGTTTCTGCCCTGTGTGAATCCGTTGGTGTACATGGAGATTCCATGATCGTGAGAATGATTTGTTGCACACCTCGCATGTGAATTGTTTCCTTTCCATGTTGGTTCTCTTGTGATACAACAGATGCACCTTGTGTAATCAGAGGCATTACAATCCTCTGGAGCTCTCCTCACACATCTCACACTTGAACAGTTTCTCACTTGTAGGAATGAGTCAATGGTTCGTGGAGCCACTCACTTCTTCCCAGCCTAACCCGCACCCACAACCGAACCTTTGCAGAGGTTGATTATAATGGACAGTTCCACTGACCAGTTTCAGATCTGATGATACGTCAAAGTTCCCCTGACTTGACCGATTTCCAGATGATGGTTTTATTGCCTAACCTTCTCTGTGTTGAGCAATGCTGCAAAGGGCTGGATGTCTTCCCACAGTTGTGCAGTTGTTCCTTGGGTGATGGTCAGGATCTGTCTGTGATATCTATCCTCTCTGTATTCTCTGGTGTAGTACAGCACAATCCTTCTGTAAAGCAGGAAAAGGAAACATGATTTCCTCAAAATCCCTCTCCTCCTTTGCTGAAGAAACTGACTCCTCAGTTAGAAACTGTTCCACAGCAAGTATCAGTCTGCTATTCCCCTGTCTGGGGGAAATCAGATCCAAGTCCTTTCTTTTTCCTCACTTGACTGTCACACACCCCCTGTTTTCAGCAGGGACACTGGATACTGACCACGAGCAGAAAATATGACTACTTTCTTTCCTCCATCCAGAGCCCCATCTTCCCAGAAACCATGACGGCAATGGAAAAGATAGTTGGGTGGAGTGTAAAACAGGCTCTCTGTTCACTCTGTGCTCTAGTTGAGCTGATGTAGGTCAGTTTTATCTTAGAGTATGCACTTAATATAAAAAAAACAGAATTAAAAATGTAGTGCAAATATTGAAATTTCTCCCCTTGTTATGGAAAATTATTTGTGGAAAACACACTGAGCAGGAAGTGTTAGAAGCTGAGGAAAATACTGCTTCAAATGTAGCTGATCGAAGGATTAGATACACTGCATTCACTCATCCTGCACATCCCAAATTCAGCTATCAGCCACAGCATAATTCAAGTCCAGGCTTTAGAAAATGGACAAGGCCTGCAGGTAATATCTATATAGAAGGCATTAGCAAACACAGCATTTGAATTGATGTGGTGTTAGATTACCATTCTGGTGATTGAGAATTCAAATCCAACCACAGAAAGTTGCATTGACTTACAGAGTGAAATAGACCATTCATCCCAATTCGTCCATTTTGGTGTTTATGCTCCACACAAGCCTCTTCTCCCTACTCTTTATCTCACCCTATCAGCATCTCCGTGAGCTCTTGTGACGCTGTGGTAGTGTCCCTACCTCTGAGTCAGAAGACCGAAATTCAAGTCCCACAGCTTCAGAAATGTGTTACAACATGTTTGAACGTGTGATGAAATAACTAGTCAAGGTTTTTGAGAAGATTTGTAGTTCGGGTTGTTGATGCGGTTGTAGAATTGCTCGCCAAGCTGATACATTTGTTCGCAAACGTTTCGTTACCATGCTAGGTAACATCATCAGTGCGCCTCCGGTGAAGTGTCGGTGTTCTGTCTCGCTAGTTATTTATGTGTCTTGGTTTGTTGGGGTGGGTGGCATCACTTCTGGATTTGTTTCTTAGTGGTTGGTATATGGGTCCAACTCTACATGTTTGTTAGTGGAGCTCCGGTTTGAGTGCCAGGCCTCCAGGAATTCTCGTGCGTGTCTTTGCTTGGCTTGTCCTAAAATGGCTACATTGTCCCAGTCAAATTGATGTGCCTCTTTGTACATGTGTATTGAAATAAGTGATATTTGGTCATGTCTCTTGGTAGCTAGTTGGTGTTCGTGAATCCTGACAGCTAGATTCCTTCCGGCTTGCCCAATGTAATGTTTTTGGCAGTCTTTCATGGTATCTTGTAAATAACATTGGTTCTGTTAGTTGTGGTTGTCGGATCCTTTATTCTCGCCAGTAGCTGTCGTAGTGTAGCTGTCGGTTTATGGGCTACCATGATTCCGTGGAGTCGGAGTAATCTGGTGGTCATTTCAGATATGTCCTTAATATATGCAAGGGTGACTAGTGTCTCTGGACATGTTGTGCCTTTCTCTTGTGGTCTGTTGTGTAGGTATCGATGGAATACGCTTTTCGGGTAACCGTTATCTCTAAAGATGCTGTATAGGTATTCTTCCTCGGCGTTGAATAAATCCGGGATGTTGCAGTGTGTAGCAGCTCACTTGAACAGTGTCTTGATGCAACTCCGTTTGTGGGTATTGGGATGATTGCTATTGTAGTTGAGTACCTGACCTGTATGGGTGGACTTCCTGTGTACGCAAGTCTAGAGCTCACCGTTGGCCATACGTTTGACAGACTTCCCGTCCTGGACGTAATGGTCAAACGTATGGCCAACGGTGAGCTCTAGACCAGCGTACACAGGAAGTCCACCCATACAGATCAGGTACTCAACTACAATAACAATCATCCCAATACCCACAAATGGAGCTGCATCAAAACACTGTTCAAGTGAGCTGCTACACACTGCAGCACATCCGGATCTATTCAAAGCCGAGGAAGAACACCTATACAGCATCTTTAGAAACAACGGTTACCCAAAAAGCATAATCCATCGATACCTACACAACAGACCACAAGAGGAAGGCACAACATGTCCAGAGGCACTAGTCACCCTTGCATACATTAAGGACATATCTGAAATGACCACTGGATTACTCCGACTCCAAGGAATCACGGTAGCCTACAAACCGACAGCTACACTACGACAGGTACTGACGAGAATAAAGGATCTGACAACCACAACTAACAAAACTAACGTTATTTACAAGATACCATGAAAGACTGCCAAAAACATTACACAGGGCAAACTAGAAGGAAACTAGCCATCAGGATTCACAAACACCAACTAGCTACCAAGAGACATGACCAACTACCGGTATTTCAATACACGTGGACAAAGAGGCACACCAATTTGACTGGGACAATGTAAGCATCTTAGGACAAGCCAAGCAAAGACACACACAAGAATTCCTGGAGGCCTGGCACTCAAACCGGAACTCCATGAACAAACAAGTAGAGCTAGACCCTATATACCAACCACTAAGAAACAAATCTGGAAGTCATGCCACCCACCCCAACAAACCAAGACACATAAATAGCATGCGGGACAGAACACCTACACTTCACCGGATGTGCACTGATGATGTTCCCTAGCATGGTGACAAAACGTTTGCGAACAAACTTACCAGCTCGGCGAGCAAGTCGACAAGCAAAATAACTATTCCATATCCTTCTGTTCCTTTCTCCCTTATGTGTTTATAGAGTTTCCCTTTAAAGACATGTCTGCTAGTCATCTCAAACAGAAATATTTAAATTGGTTGTAAGAGATGCCAATCAGAAAGCCCGCCCACTCTTCCCATTCTCTCTCTTCCTCTGCAGCTAAATGGTGATGTTACATCCCACAGGATAATAACCAGCTCCCAACACACGCACAGAACAAAAAGAAATCAGTTAAGAATCCACACACACTCTGCTCCTCCCAGATAATGACACCGCAGCTTCTCAAATTCAGGAATCAGCCATCAACAAAACTCAGCCTGGAAATCAGAAGGGAAATGCTTCCAATA